TGAATAGTTTGGTATTTGTTTTGCAGAAAGAGGTGAACTCGTGCAAGGTTAAGTGCTACTTGGTTTCTGTTTTGGATACTAAAAGGGGGGATAGAGTTTAACGATGTAAGAATTTTTTTATAATCAAGATGAGTAAAGAGTACAGTGGTGAATTGGAGAAACAAGGATTTAAATGTGTCAAGCATCAAGTGTCAAGCGTCAAGCATCAAGTGTCAAGCATCAAGCACGCTTTTTATAAGTTTTCCTTTTTGGCTAACAATACTAAATACTAAATAAAGCTAATAATAATATAGGATAATAGCAATATGATAAAATAATAATTATACTAATATTTATACATTAAAGAAGCTAATACTAAAAATCTATTCTATAACACTATGTTATAATATTATACAAAATAAAAATTAACTTTAAGTAATCTTAGATGTATGTATAATGCATCTATTGATTTATTGTAGATTTTTTTTTTAAAAAAATCTGACTACTAACCAAAATTTTAAAATTCAAATAATGCAAAACAAAAATTAACTTTGTATAGACTTATCAAATTTAAATCTATTAATTACACTTTTTAAAAATTATATCTTTAGATTTTTAAAAATTTTTATAAACAGGTTTAATTAAGAAATTAGCTTTAGAATTTTATATATAAAATATATATAAAATTTTGGGGCTAACTTCTCAATTAGAAAATTTGTTCATAAAAATTTTTAAAAAATCTAAAGACACAATTAGAGATAAAAAATTACTATTATTTTGTGTTATTTTATAAAATTTTGTATAATCTTTTGAAATCAAAATTTTATATAATTTTAATTAAGCTATAACGTAGTCTAATTTTATAATACTGCTATATTGAATCCAGACTAATTTTTTAATATTAATATAAATAATTTTTAATAACTATAATAGCTACATTATAAATTAAATTACATTATTAGTCTAATTTTAGAATTTCAAAATGAAAATATATCAAATATATTGTAATTATTATGTAATAAAAAAGTCTATTATATTTGTTCATTTGTACACTTATATAAAAGGTAAGTTAATATATATCTAAAGAAAAAATTAGTTATACCACAATAAAGATTAGTTTAAACCAAAAATACCAACATATAAGACAAATATACACTGCTTATTGACAATAATAGTAAAGAATGTTATATATATAAGACATATAGTAACAATTGAGCAAAAAATACTACTCGATTACAAGAATACTTAAACACATGCACTTTGTACAAGACAAATGAATCTTCAAATATTAATAAAAAACAAAAACTCTCAAATCTAGATAATTTTACAAAGTAAGACCAAATTGAAATGAAAACTTTACTTGCCTGTATCTTTTATATATCAGATACTTTATTTAACATAGTAAAAAATGTGTATTTCTAAGCTTTTTTTAAAAAAGCTTATCCTTTTTTTAATATACTATTGCATCATGTTCTTTCTGATTTACTTCTAAATAAAGAATATAAACATCAACAAGAAGTTGTTCAAACAATTCTTGATAAAATGCCTTATCATTGTTTAGTAAGTAACAGTTGGTCAAATATCAATAAGTTTCCAGTAATAAATTATATAATAACTACATCTGATCTGATTTTTTATAAGTCAGTTTGTACTAAAAATAAACACCATACTGCAGAAAATATTGCTAGAGGAATTGATAACATAATGCATGAAGTTGGAATAGATAAATTTGTTAGTATAATTATGAATAACACAAACAAGAGACCTGATTTACTAGCTCTTCCTGACGATCACTTGTATCAAAATTTTGCTAAAACAAAACTTAAATTTTCTTAAAACTGCTCTTTTTAACATATCTTTTTTATTAAATTTTATTGTTTTACACCCCAATTTACATATAGCTACCAAGTTTTATAGCTCTAAACCAATTTTCT